GTTCTACACTTCTTATTTGGCCTACATACCAAATTTCAGAAATATTGAAGGTATGGAAGTATTTTTCTTTAATTTTTTAAAAAACCACTGAGATTCGGCGACACTGGGTGGCCTTAATTTAGAGGCAAAATAGAAAAATTATACCCCCACCTTAAAATTGGAACGGTAAAGTCTTGCACAAAATAATTTGGCACACTTTCCTAACTCATGAAGGGGAACATTTGTACCAAATTTCAAGTAATTCAGTGTTGGTGGGTACAAATTTCAACTTTTTGCTGGTGTTTTGACATGTCCCAGTTTTCATTCTCGTAAAGTCAACTTCTTTCAGACTAAAAACTGAAAAGCCAAAGAAAATTTGACTTCAACATAAATGCAAGTGTTTTTTTTTCTTAACTCCATTTTAAAGAAATTTAGAACGTGTTTTAAGAAACAAATGAAAAATCAATTGCTGTTTTATTAACTTTAAAATTTTAAAATTTAACTTAAAAATTAAAATTTAAAATTTAACTTTAAATTTAAAAATAAAAATTTAAAATTAACTTTAATTAAATTTAATTTTAATTAAATTTAACTTTAAATTTAAAATTTAAATTTAAAATTTAAAATTTAAATTTAAAATTTAAATTTAAAATTTAAAACTTTAACTTTAAAAAATTTAAAAATTTAACTTTATAAAATTAACTTTAATTAAATTTAATTTTAATTAAATTTAACTTTAAATTTAAATTTAAATTTAAAGTTTAACTTTAAAATTTAAAAAATTAACTTTAAAAATTAAATTAAAATTTAACTCTAAAATTTAAAACGTGTTTTAAGAAACAAATGAAAAATCAATTGATGTTTTATTAACTTTTTTTTAATATTCGAAATTATATTTTAAGGTAATGTGAATTTTTAAATTGTTTTCTTTGTAGAAGTATATCTTTCTTTCATTTCTACTATAGTAGGCACCTCCACAATTTCGCTAAAAAGCATAGCATTATAAAACTCAATAAAAACAAAGTTTTCTCCTCATTATTAAGAGGAAAGAACAAAGTATTTTTTATTATTTTTTAATCCCATCTGACACGTTCGAAATATTAATTAAAAATCTTGTTTTTTTAATGTCAGCGATTGACGTAGTAATTTTTTTCTGTGTAGAATAGCAATGACAAATTAAAAACAAACAACAATTAATGTGCAAACTTTGTAAAGAGTAAGGTAATTTACAAAATAAAATTCCAATGCAAGAAAATACTAGAAAGAAAATTCTAACAAGAACAAATTTAGGGTTAGGGTTTTCTTTTTTGTTCTTTATATATATATATATATATATATATATATATATATATAAAAAGAACAAAAAGAAGACCCTACTATATAGATATATATATATAAAGAACAAAAAGAAAACCCTAACCCTATATATATATATATATATATATATATATATATATATAAAACGAAAAGAAAACCCTAACCCTAAATCTTGTCATTGCTTTTTACGATAGTGCGCAGTAATTTCGACGAGTAAGAGCAATGAAAGCCAAAAAGTTATGATTGTGATTCAGAGTGGATCTAATTACACAAAGCCGGTAATGGTGGGCGAATGACCGCGATTTAATCCTTTTTTTCTGATAACTCCAAAATGATGACTATAACTCCAAATCGTTTTTTTTCGATAATTCCACAACGGTAGGTTTTATCAAAATTGTAATTGTTAATTCGAGTTCAGTATGTACATTTGTACGGAAATATGACGATTTCGAAAGATAGATATTTAGCTTGGGGATTGAAAAGCAAATTTACCGGAAATTCTTGCAAACATTTAATAATTGTTTAAAATTTAAATAAATAAAAAATGAAATAAAAATGAATTTCAACAAATTAAATTTCCCTTCCAGAAATTCTTTTATTAACTAAAAGTAGGATTTCTTGGAGAATATAAATCATTTTTTAAAACCAGGACTACCAGTTAGCAAAAATCTGCTCCGAATCGTAAACTAAAAATGCAATAAAACTATCTAATTATTTAATCAGGAAAGCTTTTAATTGCTTTTATAATTAAGATATGTTAAGGAAACTATCCTCCTAAGAAAAAAAATTTCGTGAATAATGAATATTATTTTAGGACACTAATATTTAGAACACTAATTTGATAATTTCAGGAACCCTATTTATTTTTCCTCATATAGAACTTACGGTAAGTCCTTTATTTATGAAAAAAAAAAAAAAACTCCCGTGCCAAACATGTGTCACACACACACATTCACATACAATTCACCACATGACGCCTTACGAAATTTTGCATTTGAATATTATAGAATCACATTGCTTGTTATTATTTTTTTCAAAAAAGGGACTTCATAAACTTTCTTTTGCCACTTTGAAATAAATAAATAAAATTTGTCCACTTTGTATAATGTAATAATGCATCTTATTTAAACATTCCCGCAAACTGATTGTGATAAACCTTTGTGTTGTGAACAATGGATCTGCCCAAAAGAAAACAAAGTATACCGTTGCGATTTGGAGGTGGCGGTAGGGGGCGTCAGTTACAATCCTCGTTACCAGACCTCTGCATGCCACTGCCTATCGGGGCTATACAGTCAGTATATTCACACTGGGGAATGGACAAGTTTTTTGAAAATCTCCGAACTTTGGTACCCAAGATTAGGACAGACCCAGAGATATTAAGTTATCATAATTTCTTCTTCGGATAGATTGACCATAAATCTACCAGCTTCCGTTATGGGTGAAACCAAATAAGAGTATGACATGACTTAATCGAATCGGGTCACTCCGACCGCCAGTCTCGTCCAAGTAAGGGCCAAAATGGTGAGTTGGAATCAGAAGTAGTTAAACTTGACTCTTGAATCCCTCAACCATCCCCAGACAATATGGGTCGCCACCCACGGCAAACAGTGTACTCATTGGGTGGGGCTTTAACTATCTTCAGAAGTATAGTCCGTGTATTCTGAAGCCCCAGTCGACTTGGCGGATGTGAACGTTAGTTGTTGAGAATTATTCCCCAAAACTTGTCTACCATTGAAATTTCTCTCCCTTCGAGTTGCAATCTTAGATCATTATGCAGTTTGTTTGTCTATTGGTTTTCACATATGTTAGGCCACAAAAAATCTCTTGAGTCACCAAAGCATTGAAATCAATACAATATATAAGGTGTGCTAGAGGAAAATAATGAATAACAACAAAAATTGCAATATAATCTCTGGTAAAAAATATTAATAATATTGAAAGAAAAATCGCAATATGAATCCTTTTCATCAAAGAGGTGTTGTTAATTAAAAAAAAACTGCCAGTTTTAATTAAAGGCACCCGATTTTGCACATATCTACGCCAACGATTACATTATCGCACCCGGCCAGAAGTTACTGCCGGCTACTCAAACGTCTAAAAGCGGAAAACAGAACGAATGCCGTTAACTTCCGGTGACTCAGCGTTTTTCAGAAAACGATTCACAAAAACTCAAAACAAATGAAACATTAACATACACGAGCCTTCCTAACTAAAAATAATTACCAGAAACTACTTCATATACACATGTGGTGTCCGAATGAAACCCATGTGTACAGTCAAAAGGCAGAAGGTAATTTTCAATCATCACCCCAAAGATATTGCAAAACCGGCTACGATACTGATCTCAGCCTACATGAACACAGCCGATTTCTTCCACCAGATTTCTTGGCGGATTCGGATCGCTTCTCGGCCTTTTAGCTGAGATTCGATCACGGTAACCGATCGCGGTCTAGCTTGGACCGGCTCAGGCCTGGACCAGCTAGGACAAGCCAAGACCAGCTTTGGCTAAGCTCAGACCAGCTCTGACCACCTTGGAGATGCTATGACCAATTTTGACCAGTGGCCCGAGTGGAAACACTCGGGTTTCTCACATTAAACCGACCTTGTGTCACATACTGACTCAGTGGGGGTCAAGTAAACATCTCTTGGCGGATTTGGCCTCGGAGTAGAGCGACGAGCTCCCCCCACCTTCGCTGACCACATGAAGCAGCCAAACCTAGCAGCAGCGGGCCGACCCAACTTCAGCAGCAACGGGCCGACCCAACTTCGGCAGCAGCAGCGGGCTACATGATATGCACTAGTCCTTTTCAGGACTATACCCGGCTACATGACTTGCGATAGTCCTTTTTAGGAATAATCTAGCCACGTTATTATGAATGTCCTTTTATTAGAACTACCAAGCTGCCATCTTGCACGACTGTCATACCTAGGACGAACAGACTACACCAGCGCCGTCCGCATCGATCCTCTCTCTTCTTAAGCGCCGACGCACTCTTTACAAAAGGGCAGACATCCGGGGATCGACTGGACCTCGAACACCGCTGTTCCATCTGCCTACCTCCGAGCTGTCGCCTTGAACCTGACAACGCTCCTTCAACCCTCTAACTTCACGACCGAACTCCAGCAAACAATTTCCTGTACATACTTTTGCCAGATTATTAAATAAAATTTGGCTTAAACTTTTACATCCTTGCCTTTGTTGTCCTTGCTTCGATCTACATTATTTTTCTGCTTGCGGGGTTAACAGCACCTGCTTAACGCCGCAACAAGTGGTGACCCCGATATTTACGATCGATCGAGATGGCAACAGACGAGTGCGAACAGAACACTCCCATAAATGTAGCAATGCCACTTACGAACCTCCCTACGTATAATGAACAAAACACCAAAAACTGGTTTCTGCAGTTGGAAGCCATTTTCTCAGTACGGAGAATAACGTCACAACAATCGAAATTCGCCAACGTGGTACAAGTTTTGCCACCTTCAGTGGTCGACGAAGTAGCCGACATTCTAGAACACGTACCCGAGCAGGAGCCATATACTCGGCTTAAAGATGCGATATTAAAACGAACCAACCGTTCGGACGAGGATCTGCTCCGGGAACTTTTCACCCACGTCACCAGGGGTGACAGAACACAGCTCCTACGCTTCATGAGGAGCCGACTAGGAAAACATTCGATGGCCGAATCTTGCGCGAATTGTGGATGGACAAGCTACCCACCACAATAACGCAGATATTGGCGCCAATCGCTGACAATACACCACTAGACCAGTTAGCAAACTCCGCCGACCGTATCGCAACAAAACTGGACCAAGGAATGTGTGCCGTGCAGCGCCCAGACGACACACCAGCCAAAGACACAGATCTGGAAAAGGCAGTAGCTGACCTGCAACATCAGCTGCAGGATATACGAATGCTCCTTTCCCGCAAATCAAGAGGCCCGAGGCCGGCGGTTGGCGACAGAGAGTACAGAGTACCAGCAGGGATCGACGAGTCGACCCGGAATTATGATGGTACCACCACAGATTCGGCACCAGGGCAAGACATTGCTCGGCAACCTGCAAATACAGCTCCAAAACTAAATCGGAAAACTAAACTGCCGGCGGGTAGTAGCATCAGAACCCCCCGGTAAAAACATACGAAGCCGCCTTTTCTACGTATGGGACCGACGAAACCACATAAAGTTTTTAGTGGACACAGGAGCAGTAATCAGCGTGATACCCCCCAAAGAACAGCAAGACCGAAAGGCGGCTCTGTATAAGCTCCAGGTAGCAAACAGAGAAGATACAGCACCTTCTCACGAGAACTCCTGGCGATCTACCGTCATTTCCGATATCTTCTGGAGGGCAGACATTTCACAATCTTCACGGATCACAAACCACTGACCAACGCGATGAATGTCAGCGCAGACAAATATACATCCCGTGAAACACGTTACCTCGACTACATCTCACAGTTTATGACGGACATCAGACACGTCCAAGGAAAGAACAACACCGTCGCAGACACATTGTCCAGAACAGACGTCAATAACATGGATAACGACGTTTGGAGCTAGGAGCTGATAGCCGACAAACAAAAAGACGATACGACGATACCTGACATCATTAAGGAGACTTCTTTGAAAATGCAGGAATTCCCGTGTCCGTTCAGCGATAAAACTCTTTTCTGCGACACCGCACTGGACCGTACATTCCTCCATCTCTTAGAAAAAAAAGTATTTCTCCATCTCCACAATCTATCCCATCCGAGCAATCGAGCAACCGTCAAGCTTATCGCCGATCGATTCGTGTGGCCCAACATGAATTCAGACATCAGGAATTGGGTCTCAACCTGCATACAATGTCAAAAATGCAAAATTCAGCGGCATACAAAATCACCAGTTGGAACATTCGCCACACCCGACGCACGTTTCAGTCACATCCTCGTCGGGTCTCTACCAATGTGCCAGGGGTACCAATATCTTCTAACAATCATAGACCGTTTTTCAAGATGGCCAGTCGCTGTGCCGATTAAGGACATTTCCGCTACCACAGTTTCTAAAGTCATTCTCACCAACTGGATTACGAACTTTGGCGTACCCCAAGTTCTCACTACAGATCGGGGACCACAATTTCAGTCCTCGCTTTTCCAAGAATTCTCTCAGCTTTTGGGTGTCAGGCACATTAAAACGACGGCTTACCACCCTTGCGCAAACGGCCTCGTGGAAAGATTTCACCGATCCTTAAAGGCGTCCTTGTCAACCAAACTCGACATACACAACTGGGTCGACAACCTCCCCATGACCATGCTCTCTTTGCGGAATACCCTCAAAACTGATTTAAGGTGTTCGATAGCGGAGCTCGTGTTTGGCATGCCTCTCTCCTTACCAGGACAATATTTCCACCTTCCGCAGTACTCTTTCCACCTTCCGCAGTACAACCTCACCAAGTTCTTTCGTGCAAGATCTGCGCCACAAAATGGCCAAACTTACATACACTCCCCCACGACAACAAACCACAAGCTCCTACTTACCACAGAAATTGGATACCTGCGATTTTGTTTTTGTTAGAACCTCTCACACCTAGCTACCAAGGTCCCTTTAAAGTTCTGAAGCGTTCTAATAAATTTGTCACGATCATGCGCGGCAAAGACAAAGATACAGTCTCCACCGACCGACTTAAACCAGATTGGTTAGAGGAAACTTCTCCCGACCCAGACTTCTTAAACGCTGTCGCGCTCTTTACAAAAGGGCAGACATCCGGGGATCGCTGTTCCATCTGCCTACCTCCGAGCTGTCGCCTTGAACCTGACAACGCCCCTTCAACTGACACTCTCTAACTTCACGACCGAACTCCAGCAAACAATTTCCTGTACATACTTTTGCCAGATTATTAAATAAAATTTGGCTTAAACTTTTACATCCTCGCCTTTGTTGTCCTTGCTTCGATCGTATTACCCTATATTATTTTTCTGCTTGCGGGTTTAACAGCACCTGCTTAACGCCGCAACAACATTGCGTATTTATAAGCTTGTTTTCTATGTTTATTTCTGGTTCCATTGTTTATGAAATTTTAATTTAAAATAAACTGAGCGTGAAAAAAATTGATAAAAAATAAAAATTTCTGAAACCTTAAACATCGTTTAAGTAATTTAAAACCACTAAAATTATTGAAAACATTTCGTTTTCAATCGAAAACAATTGGTTTAAATAAGTTTCGACAGCTTACACAAAGTTATATGAAATGAAAATCAGGTTTTAAAAACTTATAAAAAATAGAAAATGTACTTGCTGGTGACGTCATTTTATGCCAACCACGCTACTTAAATAACGTTAAAAGAAATTTGGTGTTTGAAAACAGGAAAATCCCGAAAATTATGGAAAATCGATTGGTCTACGACACAAAACAATTGAATTTTAACATGTTTCAATATCTTAGGCAAAGTTATATTTAAAAGAAGTATTTTCACAATATTATGAAAACATGGAAAATTGCTGGTGATACAATTTTCCGACAGCCACCGATAATTTTTCATATCTTTATTTTCATATCGTTATTTACTTTGATATTTGAAAACATTCTAAAACCCATAAAATTGTTGAAAATCTATTTGTTTGTCGAAAACAATAGATTTTAACAATTCTCGACAACTTACACAAATTATATTAAAGAAATTTGGATTTTACAAATATATGAAAACATAGAAAACATTACAGGAGAGGCCATGTTCCGCTACTCACCGTTACTTTATCATGATTTAAACAATGTTTTTTAAAACTTAATTTGGTGTATTCATTTTAACAAGTTTCGACAGCATACACAAACTGATATTTTAAAAAGAATGTTTTTTACGAATTTATGAAAACAAGGAGAATGTAATTGAAATAGATGCAATTTACGCTAATTTCAGTTACTTAAACAACCTGTAAAAAGTAATTTGTTGCTAGACAACATTTGAAAATCCCTAAAAGTATTGAAAGTCGATTTGTTTTCGATCATAATCAATTTTGTGACAGGTTACAGAAATTTATATTTAAAAAAATGATTTTTAGAAACTTATGGAAAATGTACTTGAAGGAGAGGCCATTTACGCATACCACCACAGTTTTTTCATAATTTAATTTAAATTTTGTGTTTGAAAACAATCGAAAACCCATGAAATTATTTAAAATCAATTTGTTTTCGATCGAGAACAATTGATTATAACAAGTTTTCATCAGATTTATGTTATATAACTTAAAATTGATGAAAACTTTTTATAATCAATTTTTATAAAAATAATCAACTATGGAAAATATATTACTGAAGACGCCATTTTACGCCAACATCGCTACATTTTTACAACTTAGTCAGTTCTGTCAGTTATGCGCCATGCTTAATACTAGCTTAGGTGATCATGTATCTTTCGGTACATGACTGACGAGGTAGATTTTTTTTTTTATCTCGCAGTAGTTTGCCAATTTTTTCTTTCAGTTGCCATCTAAGGCTATAGAACCCAGTCTGTCCTGCTATTTACCTATAGCTGGGGGTCGGGGATAAGAGGATTTTTAGCATCCCACTACCACCTTTTTTATCAACATCAATTTTGTACAAAAAGTGGATCACAGAGCTTATTCAGCTTAGTAAATATTTTCAGAAAATCCCAACTTCTAATTGGTCACTTAATATTTAATAACATCGACCTAGTTCTTGACCTGACCAAAAAATAATTCTGCCAAAATCTATCAAGCTTCTGTGAGCCTATCACGTGACCAAAGTTAGCAATAAAATATGAAACGTCTTTCATCTTCGACAGTGTGCCGATCGAAATCCTTTGAACTCGTCACACAGTTCCAGGCTTTACGTTAAAGCTGTTTAATATGATTCCACTCATTCACACAGTAATATTTTATGACGAACAATCAACTCAAGTTTTCCACATTCAACTTAATACACGAATCTTTTTCATACGCTTTCAAGCTCAACGTTAAATATTGCAATTAACATAAACACATCTTGTTAATAACCATTTACCCCAAATAGAATATTCTCTTCGAACAAGTGAAAACAAATCAAAGAGCGACAATTCCTTAATCCTTAAAGTAAGTCGTAAACAATATTTCTCTATTTCAAATACAAACTTGAACTGTTTACTTTTTTTCTTAAGTTACTATAATACCAAAACACAATTTCTAATTATTGTACAGACCATTCAACAAATACCAAACTATCTAACCAGAATCTTGATAACTTTTCATCTAAACATAAAAGATAAAAAAAAAAACTTTTTAAAACTACCTTTTTACTCCAGTTGTTTGTACCTCTTTGTTATATAAATATTTTATTCATTGTTGTGCAAAAACTGTTGTTTCTCATGTTGTCCTTATTCTATGTTTGTTGAATACTGAAATTTAATGTGAGAGGAAATTGTTGCGGATGTGTGTTGGAGATGAATAGAAGGTTTGAATAATCAGAAGGATTAAAATTGTGTGTGTTCAATAATCTTCCATTCACAACAATTAATACAAGACAGAGAAATAAAGATTCATAGGCATCTTGTTTCAAAACATAACAATTGAATTTATTAGTGTTTGGTATACATGCATGAATACTGAGTGAAAACTAAAAGGCTAGACAGAGTTGTGTCTCTTTGATTAGGTAAATAGTTGTACCTGAGTTCATATTATGAGAAAGTAATATTAAACTGTAATAGAATGTAATGAGTTCGTATTGAGTGTTTGAAATTATATGAACAAGTTAGATAGAGTTCAGAAATAATACTTGCATGAATTAAGTATTGTTCATTTAACGTCTGACTGCATCAGTCGAGACGGAGTTCCTTTAGGGTCACATTTTGACGGCGTGTTGAGATATACGAGTGACGTAGATAAGTTTGGCTCGAGTCAGGAAGAGCAGGAACAAAGGATGTTTATTGCTGTAAATGTACAACAAATGTGGTACAAGGCCAAAAAGGGGGTTGGGGAAAAGGACGGTCATCATTTGTCTTAATATAAAATTTAGCTAGCCACAACCACTGACCCTATCATACAAAACAATATTCCTATCACCAAAACAACACATTTATCTATACCTTTCTTACTACATCCACCAAAATGCCTCTTTGACAATGAAAATCCTAAATAATCCCCTTATGTACAAATATTGTCTGTGGGGGGAGGGGCATAAAAACAACAATTTTAAAAAGATCCCCAATGATTAATTTACAAGAAACTAAACAAAAAAGGTGTTAGTAATAAAAAAAACCACAATGTGGCAGAAATATCAGTTAATCGGACGAAATCGATGCGGGACTATGAAAATGGATGGGAAATGTTTACGGACGTCTTCCTTCCAGAAGGCGGCATCCTCATCCGATCCTCGACACGTTCGGTCTAGAAAGTTGATGCGAAGCATATATTGACGAATCTCAATGCTAGGCATATCCAGACTGCCCTCAGAAGAATGAAGGTAACAGATCTCGCGAGATACCATAGCGGCCTTGTCTCTCCACAAGAAAGAGAACAAGAGCCTTACTAATAATATTAGTCTGGTATACGGGAGTGGAAGTAGAGAGAGTCGGTAAAGGAGAATCGGGTAGATGTGTGAAACACATACTTACGCCCTCTCCTTCAAGGAAAGCCTCCTCCGAGACCACAGGTTAACCGCGATCTCGGCCTTCCCTTGTACCTCCGACCAATTCATTTCCAACTGGAGATCAGGACCGAACTAGACGCCGAGTATCTTGATCGGCCCATCCGTCCAGATGAAAAGGTCCCGGAAGAGAAACTCCCTTCCGCGCACCCAACCGCAAGCCAACAGACTTATCGCGGTTGATCTTGGCCCCTGTCACCATCTCATAGCCATTGATCTCTTTGCTGACTTCGTCAATCTCGTCTCTGCACGACACAAGAACCGAAAAGTCATCAGCTTAGGCAGAATACCTGGCTGAGGTGGTAGCCCCAGGCAGGGAAATTCCGCGCAGAACCGGATTCGCCTTTAACTTGCGAAGGAATGGTTCCAACGCAAGAACGTAAAGCAAAGGCGAATGCGGACAACCTTGACGAATGGAGCGAGACAATACGAAAGGCTTCGATGTTACCCCATTCACCTCCACTAGCGTACCGGGGGTCGCATACAAAAGTCGGATCCAGGAGCGAAAGTCGGCTCCGAAACCGGCCGACGAAAGGACAGCCTCCAGAAAACGATGGTCAACCCTATCGAAGGCCTTGGACTGATCTAAATTGATCAGCGCGGCTTCACTGTCGACTTGTTCTAAGATCAAGCGTACCATATGAAGGTTGCCCTGAATAGTCCTGCCCTTCACTGCAAAAGTCTGTTCGGAGCCAATCAGACTAGATAGGACAAACTGCAAACGGTTGGCTAAGATCTTCGCCAAAATCTTTAACTCAGTGTTTAACATGATTAAAGGGCGAAAATTACCTAACCCATCCCCACCGTTCTTGTCCTTACGCAGCAACTTGATCATACCCCTGGTGAAGCGTTGAGATATAGACCCCTGCTTCATCCAGTGGTTGAAAATCAGTTCCAGCAAAGGAACAAAAACGGGCGACTGCCTCAAGTAAACTCCGTAGGGAAGACGATCTAATCCCGGAGATTTATCCAGGCCCACCTGCTTCAGCCCTTCCCAGATTCCGACTCTGTGATGGGACCCTCGCAGCTAGCCGCTTCAGCTGCATCGAGGCAGGGAAAGCCGGCTAAATAGGCGTCGAACTGAGCACAGCTCAGACCAAGCTCCCTGGTGAAAAGATCCTGAAAGTAATCCCGAAAGGCCTCGCATATGCCCTCGTTTGTAATCACGGTCCGCTTATCCGGCAATGTGACGCACGCGATATGTCGCCT